TTTAGTATTTTTCCCCGTGTAGTTATCTAGCTGGCTATACACCATTTCCGTTTCATCGTTGAATTTTGGGACACGCTATATGTAGAACATAGTCTGTAAGAACACATAGACTTATGAAGTTTTTTTTTTAACTTTGCACGTAACAATTCTGTCACAAAAATATTTAAGTGTATATGTTATTGTGACCGTATAGTATTAATTTTGTTCAATCATTGTATACAAGTTTGTTATTCTTTGTTATAATTTTGTTGACGTAATTAGATTTGTATGGTCATTTTAAAAATTTAAAATATAGCTCAAGTCATACAACTACATTCAAAGTACCAAGTTTATTGCTTTTTTTATATTAGATGTAATTTTTTCAGCAAAAAAAAAATAATTAGATAGGATACAGGATGATTATTTTTTATTAGCTGCCTTTTAAATAAATATCTCATAGTTTAAGTTAAATAAATAAAATTTATTTTTATATTTAATTTATTTTACGTATTGTTTAATAAAATACGACATTGAATAAAATCAATACCATTCTATAGATATATAATCTATAGATTGCAGTTATAAAAGTTTGACATTTAATAGTGCAGATATTATGAAATTCTATTGAATATGACAACACTGAGGGAAATTACCCCAAAAAAACGCATTAATAGCCTAATAGCTTAGTGGTAAAGAGCGTCGGTGACTCAGGGGTTAAGCACTTGACGTGCAATCTACAGGTCTTGGATTCGAATCCCAGCATATACCTATGTGTTTTTCCATTTCCGATTTACATATGTACATTTATCCAACGTTCTTACGATATTCAAAGATATGTGTCAACCCGCACTTGGTCAGCGTGGTTGACTATGACCTAATCACCCTTAACTTATTGTAGGCTTCGAGCCCCTCGGTGGGGATGTATAATGAGCTGATGATGATGAGCCTAATGGTTAAGGGTATGGATTTCCGATCACGTCTAGAGTTCGATTCCATTCGACTATTATCGTAAACCATGTTCTTACAAGCATAGAGCTTAGTTGGAATGGTACAAGAAATATTAGTAAGTTAAAAAAAAAACATTATAAAAATGGGCGTCTGAATTTTTTTTTTAATTATTTATCTATAGATTATATATCTATGGTTACTATAAAAGTGAAGCATAGATTATAGAAACTCATATCGATATATTTTTGGCAGCAATTAAAACTTAACGAGCGACAGTTGTGTGACGTCATCAACCAGTGTTGCAACAACAAAATAATATTTACAATGAAGCGAATTTTTAAATTATTCGCTATTAAATAATGTATACAATTAAAAAATATATTTAGAATTCGTAATTCTCATATAAACTTCATCTAAAAATATCACATTTCTTCTGTAATATTAATATCGTGGTCCTTTACTAATAAAATACCCAGTTTTATATACATATATATATAAATATTTTAAAAACTACAAAAGATATGTATATTTTTAAAATATTATAAAAATATATAATTTATTTTTTATACAAAATAGAACACCATGTATTTTATACATGGTGTTCAAGGCTTTGATGAAATATCAAAAATGTCATAAACATAGATTTAGACAAATGTAAATGTTATTTTTATATTTACTGTACATTTTGATAAAATTAGAAAATTTTATCACGCTATTAATTAAATTTTTTGATGTATACAGGATGTTTTCAAATCCAAAAAAAAAAACTTTATTTATTTATATTGTGTCTATTTAAGATAGATTAGTTTGACAAGTGACGTGTACATAATATGGAATTAATTTTGTATGAGGATGAATGTGGTACTTAATGTACGGTTGTCATAGTAACGGAGTGAAGGAGTGACGAGAATCTGTCTTTTAATAAAATTAATCCAACAAATGGATAATATAATTTAAGTATATTATAACATTTTAAATTGATTACAATTATTTAACTATGTATCGCACAAATAGTTTTAAAAAAAGCCTTTTTTGTTCATTAACTTTATGTAATCATGAAAGATAAAGTAGGAATAGAAATAAACAATTTTATATTGTAATTCAAAATTAATAATCTCAAAATTTTCTAATTACTAGTTCTATGACGATCGAAAATTGAAAAAAATTCTAGATTTTACTCAACCCATATCTAGTTAATTGTCAAACTAATATATCTTAAATAGACACAATATATTAAACAAACCAATCTATAAATCGTCAAATACGATAATAATCATAGACAATATAATTAATTTAAAATACATTGATCTGGTAACATTATCACAAACTTCACTGTGAAGGAACTTATAGTTTATGGCCTGAGTACTCTATCGTGTTAATTGTTTATGCACTCATATCCTGTATGGTATACGAATAAAGCATTTTATAAGACAATTTGAATCTTATTCAATTGTAATAAAGTCCAATTTTGATTGCAAGATCTTTAAAATCGAAATTACGTCATAAATAAGATTTTATTATATATTTATCGGTTTTGTATAGTAACAAATTCGTCTGTCTGTATGTTTTATAAATATAAAAATTATATAAAACATTTTTTTTCTAAGGATTTTTAGTAATTCTATTATATTGTTAGAAGGAACAAGATCAGTTGTTTAAAATATCAAATTTAATTCCCTAGTACCAAAAAAGTTACTAAAGTTTTATAATTTAGGGGGTGGCAATATTTTAGGGGGTCCGTATTTAAAAAGATAGAAATAAACAATTATTCTGTACATTATATAAAAATAAAGTAAATAGAACATCAAAATTTGTCAAAAAAATAAATTTTCAAGGGGTGGCAATGTCTATACATTAAGACCCCCTAAGATTTTCAACTGATCAGGTTCCAACTAATTGTGTTCTAGGGGGTATGTTACGCCCCCAGGTCCATATCGAAACAGGAAGGTCTGGGATGTGAGCGCGGCGAGTGGGGGGCGTGGTGGTGCCTAGGCTGAGCGCCTAGAAGTAGGCCCGGCAAGCAGCTGTCGCCTAGAGACAACGATGTGCCTAGACTTAGACCTTCGCTTAATAAGTTTGAACCTGGAATTAGAATTTTTGTTATACTATAACTGTTACAGTGCGTCGATGGCTCAGTGGTCAAGCACTTGACTTGCAATCTGCAGGTCCTGGGTTCGAATCCCGCCATGTACCAATGTGTTTTTCCATTTCTAAATTACATATGTACATTTATCCAATATTACGATGAAGGAAAACATCTTGATGCTGCACATATCTGAGAAGAAATTCAAAGATATGTGTGAAGTCAACCCGCACTATAGTGAGCTGATGATGACGATAACTGTTACATTTCCTTGTTATACTCCTATTTAGTCGTTGCTTAGTGCAAACAGAACTGTTTCCCTTGTTATTTCATACTAAGGCCCTAAAGTCTTTGTGATAATTTAAATATTGCAGTTAAAAACACTATTATAATTATTTTGCTTGTCCTTGGAAAAGCATAGACAAGGTTTTTTGTAGGGAACAGTGGAATTATTACCTTGATGATGTGAGAATGTGTGGGAGTCATCATGCAGCATGGAGTCGTTGCTGAGTCCCAATGAAGTCGGTGATGAACATAACATTGGATCACCTGCATAAAAAAATATGATATAAATCGAATAAATTAGAAGGTAGCCGTTGTTAGATGTCAAACTTTATAAGACAAGAGATTTTCTAGAAAAAAGTTGGCTAAAGCTTTCCATATATCCCTTTTCCTGAAAAATTAACTGCTCCTTCTAAACCTTTTTCATTCTACTTATGAGAAATAGAATTGAACTCTGTTCTGATGAGTGTCAAGACCGACAAAATTATTTGAACCGGTGGATATAAGTTAAAGATAATTATGACAGCTCACTAGCGCCCTCAACGACTAACAGCTGAACGGATCATGATGAAATTTAGCATATATATATATATATATATAGAACATAGTCTGGAAGAACACATAGGTTGCTATTTTTTTTATTCCGAGTTTTAGATTCACGGGCGACATCTAGTATGTCATATATTCTGATAGAATCAACCGCGACAGTAGCGCCCCTCACGGGTTTAGTAATCCTTCTATGAGAATGTACTGTTAGGAGGAAAATCCGGCACTGTGCCGGTGTACTGGTACAACACGGCGTACCCTCACTAATCATTCTGACACTTGACTTTCGCGCTAAAAGATTCTGTATTCTGTATTTCGGTATGAATGTTGTATGTACCTTGTGTGACAGGATTGTGTGAGTCGTCATCCATGAGGTCCTCAATCTGCGCGAGGCTGAGTGCACCCCCCGCACCCCCCACACCCACCCCCAGCAGCGGCAGCGGC